TATAAACTCACTAAAATATACCACATGCTTACTTGTAAATAATATTTTATTTTAATTTTTAACGCTTTAATAATGAATCGACTCATAAATTATTGGTGAATGAAGAACATTTTGTTTATTGGTTTTTAGTCAATCAAAGGTGTTCTTATATTGAAATTGTTTCGTACCGAAATCCCAACAAAGTAAATTTTTTATTTCTTAAACAAAACAATTATGCGTAGTGTTTGTAAGGGTTTAAATATTATCTAGAATAACTTTACCCAAACCTTGTACAACACCAAGATCGATGCAAATATTATTTCAGTGATAGCGAGTGCGTCGGTTAATAATCATTATGGCAAATGAATGTTTCGACAACCGTATAGGTACGTGTGATGCTTTATATAAACGTTTGGTGATGTCAGTCATTTTTTTTGTCATCTGAATATTTTAGTATAAAAATGAAGCCACTTATATTCTGTTTTATGTGAACCAATCTGTAAGATGTTCTAGTGAAATAATAAACTCAACGAATTCTATCGTACTCGAATAATAATTAATTTTCGACAACTACATAAATATTGTCCGTATATGCTAATAATACGTATATATATATATATACATATACTTACAATACGCATTCACTGTGGTATACAATATAGAAATCACGAATAATCATAATGAATGTTTGAATATACCTTTATAGTTATAACCTATTGTAATTGTTTTTCGGCGTAAGTACGTATTATAACAATATTGTGACCTGATAACGGTTAAAATGGCACAAACAATGGTTCAAATGGTTATTATCAATGCAAAAACAAAAAGGCCATATTGAGCGTTCGAGGCGGCTATTTCTATAATATATACATGCACACGTGTGTATGGAAAACGAAATTTTTATGAGTTCTATTATTTTTGAAACTAATTTAAATTTCCGAGTATTAAGTCATTGAGCTCCAAACCATTTGTGCGGTTTCGCCGAGTCAATGGGATATTATATTATATAATATTGCTCATAAACACCGCTGCAGTGAGTTTTGCTCGTTGATTGAACATTTCCTCGAGAAATTTACGTCGCCTACACGGCAAGGAAATTGTGTGGAAATAGTTTAGAATTAGTAAATCAATCATTATGCAAAAGTTTTTAGAGCAGAGGTTAAAACTCAATTAAAACTACGTAAATGCAAAAATTCATGGTTTTCACGTCATCATTAATGCTTTTCTCGTATTTTTCTCATATACAGTTGAAATGTCGTGGCCGGTGCTTTTGCGAGAAGAAAAAAATAACGGAAGAGAAAGAAAGGAATTAGTTTTTTTTTCTCGCTATAGACACGACTGAATGTCGATGCAGAGAGATCTATGAAAATATTAAGCATTTTTGTCAGTCACCGTAAATTCGAGTAAACGAACCCCAAGGAACATTATACATTTTTGAGTTCAAACATAACTTTTGACATTTTAAGATTAATGTATAAAGAATACGAATGGAAAAAACCAAAACATCACTTTACGTGATATGTGTTCTTACATTGGCGTGTACCATACATTTATTCACTAACGGTCGGATCGGTTTACTCTTACTAGATTTTTTTTTTATCCATTACCTAACTTTTCGAATAAAATCACAAAACTTTTATTTTTATGATTCATAAACCAATCTACTCGGGGACACTTATGGCAGAAGGATGTCTGCAATACGGTTTATGCGTATAGTGATGAATGCGCTCCACGATCGTGTGCACATTGGAGACGTTATGCGTGAGATGCTCGAGATTATTAGAATAAATATAAAAGATCGAAATACTCAAGATAAAGGCCAGACAAATTCCTAAACCATTTTTGAGAGACGGTAATTATTTTTTCTATGGAATTAAAAAAAAAATCCATTTTATTGTTCACGTATTTATGTAACTGCATACAACTATTTACTTTTTCTTTTAAACATCCAATCGCAAGAGATAAAAAAAAACTGCTCTGTATTATATACACGCAATAAAAGGATGCTTTACACTGAAATGTTATAAAAATTATTCGCACCGTTACAACAAATATTATGAAAACAGTATTTTCATGATGAAGGTTATACATTTAGGGTGGGTGATTCATATTTTAATCAATTGAGTTGTTCTGGTCGAATCAAACTGATAAAAAGTACTATGAAAAATTATAATTTTATTTTTTTAGTTTTGTGATATTACATCCTAAATTGAAAGCGGATATTTTTTTTTCCCAGGAAGCAAAATTTGAAAGGGACTAAAGCAGGACCTGACCGAAACTAGGCCCTGATCGAGACGTGGACAACTATGGCCGTTGTCGATTGCCGATCGAAACGTTTTTACCGTTGTAGAACGCTAGATGAGTCCTAAAACATTACGGGCATGCAGGGGAGAGAATCTTTTAATTTGGCGGATTTCCAAATCACACCTAACCACTAGCGAATGGATGGGTTTGATATTCCGTAGGACAAATGTACAATATACATAAAAAAATATATATATAATATAATAAACGTTCATTTAAAATGTCTATCGTTCATCAATAAATATCGATTTGAACGCAGTCGCATAGTATTAATAATAATAATAATTATGATAATTTATACGGACGACCGCTGTTCCAACCGAGTGGCCGATACGCGTATACCGATCGAATCCCGAGCACCCGATGACCGGAACGTATTAAAGCAACGCTCTCATTAAGTTTGATTCGCTCACGAACGTGCTTGAAAATAGTGATATAAACATAAACGACGTGTATCAATATTTATTCCATGTACGGCATACACTAAAACTCGGCGAACGCGTTCTTCCGACGTGAACTTTCCGCGGAGTGTGTAAACTGTCGCGTCGGAATCCATTAATTCGTGGATGTATAACAATATATTAAGAAATGGCGCAAAAGCACGTCACACAATGATAACGTGATTGACGTCGGTTGTTGTGCAACATACATTCGTTCGTTTATTTCTACGCATTTTCATCGCAAAGAGCTTCAAAACTCGACAAACGGTTTCGTCGTGTCAAAAAATATACAAAACCGTTACAGTAACACTGCGCGTTTAAGTGAATGTTCATAACGCTATAGATATATTGATATCGCTATATCGGTTTGAGCTGATTATTTGTGATTTTTTTCAGGGGATCGTACGATCTTTACGAAGTACAACTGCTGTGTCTAAAGATTTTTTTAGCAATAAATGTACTAACGTGGCTATTTGAAAACTCTTGATATAATTATTTCGAGTAAAATTCAACGCGAAAAAGAGGTGTTATTCTTAACTTCCTGAAAGTTAAGTTCAACGAACTGTGAGTCTATTTCGCGGACTAATACGCGAATTCATGAAGAACGACGCGCGTAAAGCTGGTTACTAGAGATCAGCCCGGACCGGTAAAAACCTGAACTGGGATCAGATTAGGTCCGGTCCGGACACATACCTTTATACTCATGGTTTAGGTGTGTTCGGGCCTGGGAAGTTGTATAATGGGTTAGGTTTGATTCAATCATAATACATATATTCTTAATATCACTGGTGTAGTTCGGTTCGGTCTTTTGTTCTTTTGATCTGGGTTAAAAATAATTAAATTTTTTTCAATTTATTTCTAATTATTTATAAATAGCATATTATGTTCGTATTTCTTGAAATTACTTTATAAAATACAGTAATTTCACTCTTCATGTATTATCGGTTATTAATATTATTTTTCTCTTGGCGAGAAATTATAAAAATAAATGTTGTTTGCTGTTGAATATACAATATAATACGATATACAGATAATACTGTGAAATTGGAATGTCTAAAATTATTTTATTTTATTTTGTTCGTTCATCGGAGAAGCATCATCGCATCGATATTCGATTGATCCACTCCACCAACATAAAAGTAAGCGTAAGAATTTACTAATTACTAGGGAATTGTTATTTTAAGTTAACAGTTATTAGGCCAATTATTTAGGAAATGTACCTACTACCTATCTCCACACAGCGCGTGCTGTACAATGCAAATCGTCGTAAAATTGATTTAATTTTTTATTAGGCACTTAATATTATAATTAGAGCAAGGGCCAAGGGCTTTAATGTATTTTTATATTCGACATGGTCCGGGTGTTCATTATCAAATAAAAACGGTCTCGGTCCGGGTTGATTTTTTTTTTTTTTTTTAATATAAAAAAAAGACCTGGTCTGATTCGAGCTTTTAAAAAAACTGTGAGCTGGGTTCAAGTCGGTCTGGTCCGGTTAAACAAATTGTCTTAAATATTTGGTCTGGTCCAATCCTATTTTTCCCGGGCTGTTCATTGCTGGTCACACACTACGCGTTTCAGACGCTCGCGTACGCGTTTTAACAACGCAGCGTTTAAACGACGACACACATTACTGTACGGTTTTCTAAAACGCGTACGCCAACGCGTAATGCGCTACCGGAAAACTGTTAGATAATTGTAAATCGTCGACAAAATCGCATTTCCCTACATTCGTTTTATTCTTTTTTTTTTCGATTTTATTTTCATACACATACCCTCATAGTTTCCGTCGATTCCTTACACGACCGTCCGTCGTACCCTACGCACGACGACAGTATCGCGCACGTTCCCCCGACCACTAGCTACCGGTACACCGTCGGACGGTTCGAAAACGCCGGTCGAATACGTTATCGATGTACGATATTTGTACGTTTTTCGAATGCACGTACGTACCCCTCCCCCCTTCCACCTATCACGTTCCCCTATCGTTTTCGTGCGTTTTCGAAACGTTCGTCTTCTCGCGCGACAGCGTTCGTAACGTTTCGTTCGAGCGTCCGAACGTCGCACCGTAACCGGTGCCGAGCGCGGACGATCGCGCGAAAACTTCGTCGGCGGCGGCGGCGGCGGCGGCGCCGTCAAAGGGGGTGCGCGGCAGACACGCTACACAGCGGCGCGGCCGTACGCGCGTGTGTACCTATATAGACGTACAACTCCGTTCGGACGGGATTCCGTGCGGAGCCGAAGTCGCCCGATCAGCGACCCCGGGCGCCGACGGAGGGACATAATCAATGAAACAGACTTTGTGCCGATCTCTCGCGGTATACCCGGAACTTTTCACCTCCGTCGGGGGATACGCGCGCGCGTCCGACCGGCGGCACACGACCAGTGAGCGTCGTCCCGAGCCGCGAACGCACCGCAACCGCACGCGCGCTGCTGCTGTTGTCCGGCGAGAAAATCGTCCCACGAGCGAACAACCGGAAGTCCGTGGTCTTCCGCGCGTATCGCGTTTTTTGTTTTTTTTGTATTTTTTTTTTTTTTTTTGCTCGACGATTAGATTAGATCTCTCGCGAGTCGTCGAATTTTCCCCCCCCCGTCGGCCCCCCCCCCCCCACTGACCATCGTCGAACACGCGACCACTGTTATGGTGTTCAAGCGACACGGGCCTTCACGTTCCAGAGGACCGAACATCACAGGTACGGGCCATAGTGCACGGTGTATACAGTTGATACGGTTTTCCCGACATTCTTACGAGTGAGATCGTGTTCCCGCTGAAAACGACAAAAACAGCCGCCGAGTCCGACCACGATAACGGCAATAACACGTTGATCGAGAACACCTTGATCGTTTGTTTTTTTTTTTTTCGATCAACGGCGATAATATCGCGAAAAACAATCATCGTTACGATGTTGATGCACTGCGTTCCACGTGCGATTTCGTTTCGTTATCGGTCCTTGGCGGTGGCGTCTATCGCTACGGTTTGTGATAGAGTGTAAGTTTGTTTTTGTTTTTGTTTTTCCACGTGCGCAGCGAAAAAGAAATATGAACGGCACGAAAACGGCGCTTGAACACACCGAGATCGTCACCGAGGCGGACTGGGCTCTGGCCGGCATCATCCCGGACGGCATCAACGCCACTGGACTGCTGTCAGAGGACCTGGAGGAATACGCCGGAGGTGAGTGTCCATTAATCGAATACAATGACGCGTGCAAACGTAGAAGCGATACACGTCGCTACTTTCACAGCGGCAACCGACCGTTCCCGTACCGGCTTCTCATTCTCGAACGACGAACGTCCGTCATAATACGCCGTGTGCGGGTCCGTGGGTTTCCACGAGGTGGCTTTGCGATTTCCCGAATCTAACATAACATTACGGTAATTCAAAGAGAGACCGTGTCCGTTTCAAGAGGTCTGTGGAGAATGTAATCAAAGCCGCTCCGATATGGAGAGATACTTGGACGCGCGCGCCAACATAACATAAGCTCTTTTGACGTGTAATCGTTAAACTTATACGCGATGTATTACATTATTAGTGATAAATCAAACTTACCAATTGTTCCAAATACCAAAGCATTGACGTTAATGGAAATCTGGTTTTTATAATATACGTGTATATATTTATATGTGTGTGTGTGTGTGTGTGTGTGTGTGTGTGTGTGTGTGTGTGTGTGTGTGTGTGTGTAAACAATGTATATATATATATATATATATATATCGATTTAATTGTCACGTTTTAAAAGCCGTACTTAACCTTAATGGTCTCAAGAGGGGGAGGGATGTGGAAAAATAAACTATGAGCTATCGAACTTTCCGCCCATTAAGCTTAAAGATAAGCATATTATTATTGTTGAACACCGTTAACGTTATATGTTACACTATTTTATATATTAACTGTATCAAATAATACGTATACCAGTGCAGTCACCGTGTATATTACATAAAGTACGTAGCTCCCGTGCGTCAAAATCGTTTCGTTCGTGTTACCACCGGTCACCTTCGTCGCACATTTTATCTTTATATCTATATTTGTATGTATATTTCCTCTTCGTTTAGCCTATTGTGTTTTATTTACGTACAGATGATAAAAACGCTGTACGAGTACAACATAACCACTTGTATAGTACATGTAACGCAATAACGCGGCATTTGTCACTGGTTGGCCTTGGCGCAACTGAAAAGTATACACTTTATAATACGCAGCACATATAGAGTGTGAAAAATAACGAATCGCGACCATCTGCCGTTGAAAGGAATGGAAAAAAAAATCCATTAGGATTCATTAACTTGGGCGTGTTTCCGACCGTAAAAGGTTCAACGAGTAGGGCAGGAGAATTATAAACGGATAACACAAAAATTGTACGTTTTATGTATCGGTCGTGCCATGTGGTCGTAATATGCACGACCAGTAAGATATCGATCACCGTCGTCGGTGTATAATATTAGGACGAGTCAACGCGTACGTAGTCGGTCAAAGCTATTGTACGGTGCACGAGTGTATAGTCACCGTTATTATCTCCGACCGAGAAGACGAGTATTTTATTTTCACTTCTCTTGCGAATAAAATGAAAAACGCCGCAACTGTAATATTCAAACTATGAGTTTTACACGAACAATTGTTTTCCACATTCGGGCTTGAACTATTTATGACGTTTTCAAAACGAATACTTGAAACGGTTACTGCTTTTGAGCGAAAACGTTTTTTAAGGATTTCTTATCCTATATTATAATCCTACCTCTTAGACGACGAAGCAAACCAATCACGCTGGTTTTCATTTTTATTTCGATGTGCTATACCTGTTATCATTCTTATTTTTGCATTCAACGATTCGCTCTCCGCTTAGTCAAAAAGTTTATGTTGGTTTTTCGTTGTTTCTGTTTAATCAAAAATTCTTATTTTTGCAAAAATAATAATTCCGTTGTCGACGGTGCTAAAATTCTCCCGAGGATTCAGCAAACTTTAAATAAATGTTTATACTTTATGCATCTTATCCGTACCTTATATTCCATTTTTCTCTTATTAAACACACACAAATACGCAAACAATCTTTCCATCATAAATAATAAGCAGCAATAATCTGAGAAATCTCTTTGATAGAATTTTACATTATTTGCATGGTCATGGTTTACTAGAAAAAAACGGGACTCGAAAAATATTTTGTTATTTTAGTAATATTATCCTACATGTAAGGAATTATTTTTTTTTATACTTAACACACATTTTGTACCGTTTTTGAAACATTATTATCATAATGATATATCCATTGTGCGTAATCATATTTCGTCGAGATCACTGTATTTATTTATTCAGTACTTTAAATATGTTTGAATACAATTTTGATAAATTTTTCAGTCATTATTTAACCATTGCGCTCGAAGTATCTTATTTATTAATTTAGACCGGTGGACGTCGGAAGTAAAGGAAACTCCATTATCCCATCATTTTATACTAGTAAAACATCAAGAGCAGTTATAAATTAGAAAAGTTTTTTTTTTTTTGTTTAAATGAACTAGAAAAAAAAACATTGTACTCGTAAAAATATCGAAAAGAATTTCGCGCGGTGCCCATATTGTAGTAATATTACCAAAGTAGAACATTAGTAATTGAAAAAAAAACCATTACTTCGGGTTAATAACTACATACACACTGCGCATCAAGGTAAAAAGTAGAGTCAGCGTACGTGCGCAAAATTAAAAGTACCTGACAACTAACTGTGACGATTATTCGTAGGAAGGTACCATAATGGCTGTTCCGCGTTCAGACAATGATGTTGTACGTTGGTACAATGACGAACAATCGTTGCGGAAGGGGATAGGTTTTAATTGTTGTTTGGAAACTGTCATCGCGTTTCATAATATATTATAATATATATACACACACGTTTTACTTATAGTTAATAATGTATGAAGGCGAATTGGTGAACGGGCATAATCGCGAATGTTACACAACACTAGTGCTATAATAAATATTCAATGACGTCGTTTTCGCATTTATATATGTACATGTTTACAGGTTTGACCGAAATCCAAACGCTGATCTTAGCATGCGTAGCCACCGTCATACCCCTCTTCTTGGGTCTCCTGCTCGTTCTCGGCGTCAGGTGAGTGCAACGTGTTCTTGTTTCGCGTGTTTCCGGTCAAAAAAAAAACCCTCGAATCGTATGATTTTATCCCTCCTCCCGTTTTCTCGCGTATTTTTCAGGATGGTGTGGAAGAAGTACAAAAATCACAATACCGGCAACGGTTATGACAACAACGGACTGCGCCGCGAAGACAGTTGCGATGCCGTCAAAAGCTCGAGCTTCATGCAAAGCGCCGAAGAGGTACCGATACATTATCATTACCCACGTTTTGTAAACATATTTTGTTTAACCGTTACCTAACACCTTAACCTCAACCTTACCTTTAGAGAATAATGACTGATTTCCAACGAATACGTAGCCACCTTCCCCCCCCCTCTTGATCACGAAATGCTGCGGTACATCATCGTCGACGTTAAAACTCGACACGGCGCTCCGTGTAGGCAAATCAGGTGGTCCCGTGCGTTTAGTGGAAACAAGTGCCTGTCAAAAAACGCATTCGTTCCGATTCGTTGCGAGCGCGCACCGGGATTTGAGTGATTGGTACATGTGTCCTTTTGGCATACTTTAACGCGTACTGATGTACACGAAATATCTGTTCACCGTGATGGAAAAGGCGTTTGCGTCTCTCAAACACGATACTGCGGTATTGGTTTAAGATATGTGCTAAGGTGGCGAAAACACGCAGTGACGACTTACGTCTCAGGAGGACTTGTCTGATACATAATATACATCGTTAACAATTAAAATGAGTTAGTTTTCACAACACCGTTTCTTGAAAGTACGAAAGATTCTCGCAATTTACCCTCGGTCCACCGTCAATGACACGTGATGGTTCATTGTTATAAAATTAAATAGGTATATTTTTTTAATCGTCAAATTATGCATTTATAAAAAAATTGTAATTTTTAACGTGGTCTAATTTTCCGAGTTTTGAGCAAAACAGTAAAGTGTTTCTGTGAATTTTTCGGGAAAATTCTAAAGGAACGCTTGAAAAAGGTAGGGGGACTGCGTCTCCTCCACCCTCAGTTTTAGTATTGTTTAAAATGTTATTGTTGATTGCGCCCTAAAAATAACATAACAGTCACAATTAAAATTAAAGTATTTAATTAACCAGTAGATGGACGTTAACGTATAGGGTATGACGTTAACGTCGGATTCAAAAATCCATAAAAATAACGTAAAGGAACTGCCGTTCTTAACGATACGTTTCAAAACAAATCGTGTGCTATTAGTTAACCTATTACTATTATTATTTTTTTAGGTTTTTATTTTTTATAGTAGAAGTACACCTGTCTATATGTTACGAAAAGTTAATTTCTTTAAAAGGGCTTTTGTGCCTTTTTGTAATAATTTTTTATTGCGTAATACTATTAGATAATTAAACGTTTGGAGAAGATGTAACAGTTAATAAAAAGGAAATCATGAAATTGAACAATATTAAAAATGTAAATTACTTATAAAATTATAATATCAGGATAGTTTTCAAAATTATTTTCAATGCAACAGAAATATCTATCTGTTAATTATACTAGACTTTTCAACCATCACAATTTTTCTGCATTTACATTCGTTATATAATAATAATATATAAATATTATGATAATTACCTAAGAATATTTATGGTTTAATAATAAACTCGAAATCAGACTACTGCAATTTTAGTACGAAGTTATTTCTCGGGAAACAACATGCGTTTATATAATATTTTATCATACAACAGTAGACTTAATGTTTGAAACAAACATAACTTTGTCAACATCACTTTGAAGTACGTGGAAAGTTTACGAATAAGTTGAATGTTAGATTATATTAAAATTGTGTACTGAGGTTCCCCAGATATCAGCCATTGAATCATCATCCATCATGCACTCGATGTACGTCGTTATGAATGGACAAGAACGATTCAAAGACATACAAATAACCTTATATTCTCGGGTACTGATAGTTCTCCAAATAATTTTCCCAGTTCTCAGTAGTAATGGTATTACGTAATTTACTCTGATAATGTTTTCTAGTAGTTTTTTTCCTTTTTTTTTTTCCAAAACTTTCGACAAAATTTAAAATTTCTTAGCTCACCAATTGTTGATGTTATCAATGTATGTACGAATAAACATGCGATCGACGATGTTACAGAATTTTTGGACATAATTTAGATGTAGTGGTTTCAAAATATTTATAGACTTGAAATAAATCTATAGACATACGTTCACTGTTTAACGATATGGATTACAGATAGAGACTAATTGGTTCAATATTTTATTAATGTGAATAGAGTATTAACATTGACTTATCGTGGTACCTAAATACAAATAATAATGTTAAATTTATCGGAAATTCGAATAAAATACGAGTATTAAAATGTGTATTAATTTATTGAGCAATATTTACAATTTAATTATGTACCAAAAACGCGGGTTTCGAAGTTTTTCAATTAAATTAATAATCTGTTTTCCACATACGGAAACGATTTTGAAAAATGTTCTGTCATTATTAAAACAAACAGACAGAAATTCATCATAAAAAATATTCAAACTTTATTAGCAACGCAACATTATTTTCGAATAAATATTGCACACAAATTCGGTTAGTAAAAAAAAAAAAAAACATTATTAAAATAAGGCTTTAACTCTCCACATTTTGCATATATGCCTATGTTCGAGAACCAAATTATATTATTACAATATAATTGCGACTCTATCAAAACGATTAATGATTTCGCGAACGCACTCAAAGAATACAATATTTTTTTTAAACCTACAACGGTGAAATGCGTTGTCGAACGTTTCAATGTATGAACGGGAGCTTTCGTCTTCGATTTTTCGTACAGCCAAACACGTCCTGATACATCGAAACGACATACGCAATAGAATATTTATACGTATTATAATATATGATAGCTGATACTCGAATAGAGCCGATCAAGTGAATTCAGTAAGCTCTGTTTTCTGCGTTGTGCCTCTGTATGGCTACAGTGCTTGCGGAACGTTTCCTGTGCAATAGAACCGCAACCGCAAATCTTCAAAGTCGAGTTAGCTCCTCTTAACGTTATCTTTCGTGTGTTCATTAAAAACGTTCGTAAATTTAAAAATTTACCGAGCTTTTATCCGATGATTTTTTATTTTTATTTTTTTTTATCCAACATAAACGTGTAATGGTAATTTTTGTTTTTATTTTCAGACGAGATACACGCGACCCAGGTTAATACCGTATAAACTTTTCCGTACTTTGGACTGTTGTAGATAGTATATTATATATACATAGAGCTGCAAATGCGCGAACGGAAAACTTAATTAAAATAAGAGAGAGAGAGAGACAGACGGAGAAAATGGAAATAAAAAACAAAAAATAATAAAATAAAATCTTCCCGATAAAACCGCGGGGCGGATGAAGTGTTTTCATGTTAAAAAAATGTGCACTGTACACGTACGCGTCGCCTCGGCTTTCGCAAATAGTGTAGCGATCGATCTCCCGTCGATGTTTTTTATACCCTTTTTTCGAACGGAAGAATCGGGACGGCGGAATCTTAATCAAATCGGCGCCCGTTTAATAATTTGATTCGATCGCGCCGAGTCGTTTTGATTTCATTCGACATGCGGTCGACTGTGCGAGCAGCAACGATAAAAATCGCAGCACGGGTTAATCGTATACGCGCGATTCGAAAACAAACGGTCGAACGACCCATGTACCGCATCGTAATGAAGTTATGTTGCAGCACAAGTGATTCGATTAGGTATTTTATTTATCGACAGGTGAACTGTGAAAATCATTGGTTTAACTGCAATCGTGGTTGTTTTTATACATATATCTTCTGTTATTATTCCGTTTTCGGACAGTAAATCAGCGGAAAACGTTTCACACGACATCATGCTTCTCACTTTTCGAAATCGGACACGGACGACGCTGTTTACATTCATGACTTGACGGGTTATTTTTCGATTTTCTCAGCAGTTTTCCTGTCGATCAAAAAAAAAAAAAAAAACGAAAATATATAAAAAAGTACGTTGAATTTTACCCCGCAACCGTTCGTATTTGTGTTTTATAGACATTTTATGCAAAGCTAACTCCAAGCCATTTTATTTATGGCTTAAATATTAAAAGGTTTTTTTATCAATTCAATTTTTTTTCTCATAGTGTCATCTTACCGAATCTCCTGAATCCCACTGGCGGCTATTTTTTCATTATTAATCTACTTGATGTTTAAGCTAGGGTAAATAACTCATATTAAATAGTTTTTTTCTGATCCGAATGATTTCGTTATGAAATAGGAAATATGAATCACTTAAAATCATATTGTTTCGTTACATACTGTATACAGTACATATTTTCTCTATAAAAAAACAACAACGAAAAGTTCATGATGTATGAGTTAAAAATGTAGCTTATCGCATAATATTTCTTTAATATGATATTATCATATCATATCTTTATATTAAACTAACGAGCTATATTAAATATTTTTTACTTATGTAAACGCTTTAAACTTTGTGTTATAATAAAATAATATATATTAACTATGTCCTTAGAATTAGGAAAAAAAATATTTTTATTTAAAAAGCCGACATTTTTCGAACTTTCAAGTCGTAAGCAAATATTTTAATAGTCTACAATATTGGGTCAGTCACTATAAAGTTTATTATAGTATAAACAATTAAAGATCAATAGTCGAAATCATAACATACAATTCAGAGAGTCGCCTTTTTTATTATCAGATTTTCCAATCAAGAAGAAAAATGGTGAACCTACTTTGTATTTTTTTTTTTTTTAATATATTGAAAATATTCAATGGAAATTCCCAATTTTGGTTGTTGTAACTGTATAATGGAATAACATCTTCAAAAATCCCACAATCCATAACGTATACGTTTTTACTCAATAATTCAACTCGTCAAACGAGATGAATATTTAAATACAAAGAAAATCCGCTGACTTATGAAAATATATACTTACTCGTATTATAATATTGAGGACACTGTACTGCATATAATAAATCTTAAACGAGGTTTTTTTTTTCTATTCATTTTAAACTTAAATAAATTATTCTGTGGTTGACGAGCATTTAGTTGGTAGGTTTAAGAAAACAAAATATTCTCAGGCGAAGATGGTAATAAGGGCATGGGTAGTAGCGACAAAAAATATAAAGCTGTTCGTAATTTTTTTATTAATTTGGTAATACGATAGTATCAATCACAAATTAGTTTTTTACAAAAAAAAAAATAAATATATTATCTGTACGCTGTATTCGAACTATTAGACGATATATGACGTCGTTGTAAGATTAGCAAAGAGAGGATGATATTTAAAGATAACAAACCGATCGTATGTAAAATACTTAAGTCAGTATTCGTCATAACGTAGAATGGATTATTATTCCAATAACTACATAGCGCACACAGCAAGTGCTGAAATAATTAATTTCGTCTGGTTTTCAAATACAAAATTATTTTTCGCATCAATAATGACTTTGAAAAAGAAATGCATATTATTGTAAATGATATTTTTCAATAAATGTTTACACTGGTGTGTTTTTGCAGAATTTTGTCGGCGTTAAGAAAATTATATTTAAAAATTAATGAGTTTATATTATTTGATATAATATTATGAAAATGTGATGAAATTTATTTTTTGCTCCGTATAATTAAAACAACCTTTTCTTAACGTTATAATTTATTGCCTTTTCAATTTTTACGTAGTGCGCATTTCAAAATTCGAAAAAACAATTTATTAACTATACAAAAATGATGATTTGAAAATCTGAAAAAAAAAAATTACTTTTCTCAAATCGATTCGTTCACCGTACAAACACGATTCTCAGTCTTCACGCAAATGATGTACGCGGTTTACCATTGTCCTGTACTAAGTCCTGTGATTCCACATATTTTAATATTTACAAATCGTGTCCTAATTGGTTAACCGTATTGTACGGGTGCAATGTCGTCCGACCGTTGTGGTCTTGCACGCGTAGGGATTGTCGATCGTAATGCGAAGTATAAGTACCGTATGTTTTTTTTTTCTTTTAACGCAGCTTAAGACCAGCGAGTCGCAGTACTCCGTCCTGATGCCGGACGACAGTACGGCGTGTTGTTACGCGGCTGCGGACGCGGCCGCATCCCTGCCGCCGCCGCTGCTGTACAACAGCCCGCCCAACAATCGTTTCGGAGACACGAACAAAACGAACCTGAACGGGAGCATTATCACGTTGACTATGAAGAACAACCATCTGATCGTGGAGACCGAGGAGAGAGTGCCGGTAATTAATCACAGTGACAAGTTTGCGTTACCATCTAATGATAATGTATATTATGTATGCATTAATATGTTATTATTATTATCATGCCTTACCGTTGGTGCAGTTATTGGACATAACGTTTTTCTGTACGTGGCACAGTACAAATCAAATGCACCGCGAATAAAAATAAACTCGAAAATTATAGTGGTTTTTGAATTAGAGAACCTTATTGAAAATAAAAATAAAAATTTGTAGTACAACAAACGTGCGACTACTGATAAGAAAAACGAATAAAATAATTCAATAACTTAAGTACCCCTGTACAATATATTTTATTGTGCCGACATAAGTATCGTGTTTTCGATTAGGTTTTAAATAATATCATACAAATTTTCAAAGTATTGATTTTTCTTCTTTTTTTTTTTTTTAGTGTAAGTACATTTTTCAAGTTTGTACATTTTTCTCTCGACTACACAATTTTATTACATACTTTATTTAAAGTATCCTAATTGATAAACTTATAAAATAAGTTGAAATTTCGAGGTAGTTACTCAGAAACAGGATTTAAAAAATGAAATTTTTAAGACTTTGCATAAAATATATGTATAAGCTGTACATGAAATGAAGTGAATCAATGCGACAATACCAAAAGTACAAATAATTAAATTCTATATCCCTAAGTAAAATAATTAATGATTAAAAAGACAAAAATACCAAAAGTGGAATTTTATACATTTTTCGGCCGAAATTAAGTGACTTTGAAACTTTAATTGGAGAAAACGGTAGATAATTATAATAATGGATAAATTATATGTTAATCAAATTGAAAAGTTATTTTCAAGAATATAAGTTGAAACTGACGCGAGTGTATGGTGAATTATATACTGCGTACGTATGTATGCATAATAACTTATCATTAATAAGTAATGGCATGTCGTTTCTAAAACGTTTGGTTTCACTATGCACGTTTGTGACGACTCCTTTAGAATACACGGGGCTTTGTACTTGCACTCTGCAGTGTTCGTTTCGATCGATTTTTGAACGTGTGTCCGTCATTACGTGAGACGGTATTTACAGTAAATGTCGTTGAATCAGAATGAAGTTTGACGTGAATTTCTTAGTTTTATTGCATTCACCATGAAAATGTGTCGCATTACTCGTGAACTCGATCTCCTATTTTAAATAACGGTGTTAAATATTTAACCTGGCGCTCTTCAGCCGACGATCGCTAACTTCAGCGAATTGAACAGCTCTCAGGAGACTTATAATCGGTAGAACCGCGGAAATATCCACTACTCCACAATCTATACTACCTAGTGGATTTATCGTATGTTCAGAATATTTAGTGCTCGATTTCGTATTATGCATCAATTTTCGTATCGACAAGTACCGCTACCAATGTTTACTGTGGAATATAAAATATATCTATTCCATAATATTCTACTCTATTCTATCTTTGCATGAAACATGTTTCATGTTACCGTTTTTTTTCCTCTCATTCGTAACGATTAATAAACCGTTCGATAGATATGGTAACGATATGTACTGTTCTTTTTTTAAGCTTCGACAAAATAAAATATGTTGATTTCAACGAATTGCATAATTGTGCTAGCAATATTATAATTCGATTGCACTTCAATTTGAATTTAACCTGACACTGAACATTCAATTTGGTTGCGATTAAATATGCTCTAAGAAAATGTATACGAGACTAGCATCTATTATATTTATCCCACATGTAGCCACGTGCTGAGAAAAAAATTACCAATATCAATTAATGTTTATTTATGAACTTAAATTAAATTTTGATTAAGAATAAAGATTTATCTGTACCGAATACTATCATTAAAAATGAATAAATAAAACACGTTCTAACAATATTTCTGTTAGTTAAAATAAATAAACCAAAATCAAAAATAAATAATAAAAATAATTCACGCTACGTGACATTTTAGGGTTTGGCGGTGGAGTTTGTTTTTCGATGTAAAAACTTTGTTTAAGCACGTTCAACCCATGCGGTCTTTATATTTTCATCATTAACATAGTACAATATACTTGCATGTATCGGAATAATACGTTTACCGAAAAATACGACAAATGTATCTACATAAGGTGCCATATACCTGTGTCTGATATACTTGTAATATGTGAATTGTTTACCAATGCGTTCCCGCGGTTAGTGTTCCTATAAATATTCTCAAAAATATAAGTTGCGATATTCCTATTGGAATGAAACGACACAATATCATTTTTTTTTCTTTTATCGTAACCCTATCCGGATAATAACCAATAAAAACATTGACTTATGAATGGTATCTAAACAAAGGACATGATTGTAAATCTGAGTTAGATGAGTGTTCGTAGACGACGATATACATTTGAGCCAAAGAGGATCCGTTTTTTTATTTTTTATTTTTAATAAAGCTTACATTTAAATTATTTAAATGTACAAGAAAACCATAACATTCGAAGTGCTCACACCATACTTAAGGCGTTTTTTGCGGAAAGGATATAGTTTAAAAAACATTCATAAGGGATAATCCTTCCATCAAGATTTTAGCATACGAGTACATCAATATTTGTGTTTTGTCACGTCGCTAAGTACACGATATAATATCGTTATCTGAGTGTATAATACTTAATAGTACGTCACAAAAGTTTAATTTTATTTGAATCCCTTCTGGGGAGAAAGGACTAGGGCCGTTGAATAAAATACTATTATAACATATTGCAGTTATTTTCTAGTACTTTTTTGTTTTAGTTGTTTCAAACGAGTTTAACTGATGTACGTTATTCCATAGCTGTTGAGGTTTTATTTTTAATTAGTATACACGCATAATGGTTCAATTCATGTAAGTCCGTTATACGCTTATGTGGTATGTAGATTCGTATCGTAGTTGGTTTATAGGGTTTACGGTTTGTTTATAATTCCTTATCAATCGTACGAAGAGCATAAAAGTTCATTTTGAATTAAAATTTAATTTCAAACACCCGTTGAAACTCGTCTTTTTTAGCCTGTCGCACAATGGGACAAGATTAAAAAAACATGCATAAAACTCATAGAAGCTTAAATATATTTTATGAAGTTAAAATATTTCATTAAATGTTTCATAAAATAAAACAAAAATCATAATACAATCAGAAAAGTTTATTTTTCATTCAATAGATAAACATAAAACATGTGTAAATTATTAACCAGCAAACATCAATAGGTGTTGTTATTATCTTAACATTTTAGCATTTTAATCATTATCTTCTTTATCATTTTTATTTTCATGGTCATCGTCTATGAGCCTTGCTATTTTTTAAAATGTATTTTATATACTAAATAAGATACACACTCAAAAAAACGAAACCATCCATACAAAATTGATTACTAAATTCCAAATTTTCCATTTTCATTAGTTTTATAATCAATACAATTAAAATCCTTACAATTAGTCAGATGTAACATTTTTGGGTAGAAGATATGTTTGCAATCCCATTATAGACTTTTCCATCTATCATTGTTAACGTAAACTTATAACTAACATTGATAATATTTTCATCTAAGCGTATATTACTATTTTCTAAACTTAATATTTGCTTATTTATCCTTTTTTTCTTCTGAGAAAACTACTATTTTTCTTATTGAATGTAATTTTTAAAGGTTTAAAATAATTCAAAATATTTTATTTATTAAAAAAAAATATGTATATACATATAAAACAATGGATTTTAGACAATTCCAAAAAAATTTGTTAAAAAAAAAAAGAGCAAAAAATGTTTTCACTCATTGTAATATAGTTCTTATCCCTAGATCCAACGATTCTTAGCACTCCGCAAAAGGATTTCATGACTATAGTTGGTGAATCAACTTTTATAATATATAAACATTCATAGATATTTAAAATTTGTTTATACTATAAATAAAAACAAATTTTTCAAGTTTTCGTTGAAAATTAAAAAAGAATCTAGAGCTTTAAACATGGTTTAAATAATTAAGGGCGAAAACAGACAAAATTAAAATATGTCGACGTAAATCAAAACACTTACTGGTTTTCGCCATGTAATAATAAAAAATTGACCAATTATGGAACATAATTAAATCTCAAAATTTCCATTGATAATTTAAAACTAATATTATTATTTTTTTTATAAAAATACATTAAAATTTTGTTAAACCATCAATAATTTTAAATGTGAGTAAATATAAAAAACAAACTTGCACCTAACTTAATTAATTTAAAATAATAAACAATAAAAATATTTACACAGTAAAATGCACAGACAAATATGAAACCGTTATTTTAAATAAACCACGGGTCTTGTGAGCTAGTATATTATGAGGTCGGTGTGGAGTGAAATTCGATAATCTAATTTAATCTCATCTAATGACTTGTTGTGATATTCTATAGATAAATAGAAACGTTAATAGTCGATTATAAACTAAGACCATTTAAATTTTTTTTTTAAGTATATGTATACAAATTGTAGGTTTTGCCTCGCTGTACGTCGCGTATTAATCCAATCACAATGATGTTGCAACTAGTTACATGTAATACACCTAGTGCTAAGTGCTGTATTAGCTGTCTCCGTTTAAATCGATACGAAATCGTCATCATTTTTAAGAGCAAATGCAACAGTCGAACATATTCGTCAAATTAAATTTTTTCATCCAGACGATAGTTTTTTTTTTCATTCAAAATAATTAAATTTCTTCAATTTCAAAATATAATATCAGTACCTGATCGTACATCGAAAGTTGGACTTCCATGTAAACTATTTTAGCACAACTCTGAACGCCGATTCAACTGCCCAGCGTTTGGTGGTAAACTGAAAAACAAATTAGGCAATTAAATTGTTTTCGTACCGCAAAATTGGTTTTAAGGCACTTAATCAAATTTAGACGTTTATACAGTTTTTGTGATCCGTAGAAAAAAATAGAACAAGTTCATTAATAATACTGTTCAAACATTACATAATTTTGTTATAACACGTTATATTTTTTTATCTTTACTCCTTATGCTTTCCACGCGCATACGTATCAGCTTTTCGCTCATCCTGGTCACGTTTGGAAGCGTTTAACATAAACACGATGTTTAATCGCCACGTCTATTTTTGTTATTTAATTATTCAAATTTGATTTGAATACAGAATGGACTATCTATAAATTTATAAACAATTTACGAGTACATATCACTTATTTCTATTTACTGCGAAAGTATCGTAGTATTTTACTACTAAGGAAATCATAATTTCTTGTACCAGATCGTATAAACACGATTTACACAATTTTCAGTTTATATACAAATATTTTATTTTTATTTATAAAGTTCAAACAAGAATGATATTTAAAAAAAAAAAAAAGAGTATGAATAATATTATAAGAAAAGAAAAAGTAATCAGCCCGTGTATTATATACACCTACACGTATATCCATTTATTTATGCAGAAGATGAAAGTTTACGAACGTCGAATTTTATTTTGTGTTTGCGCTCACTGCAAATTTATTCGTAAATACTGAATACATATTTCTCGTCATTACATAGTCACTTATCAAATAGTCACATATAAAAATCATTATCCCGCTGTATGAATTTCGTTGTAATAATTTATATGCCAGAAATAATCGTATTATTTCGTTTGATTTCCAACTGAACCATAATATTATATATTTCACAGCAACATAAATAAGTATAAGAATATAATTTCAATTGTCATTTTTTGCGGTATAAATGAATGCACAGTTCTTATCATTTAGCTACTTTAAACTAACGCTGTATGGGGTAACCGGAGAAATATATTAATACATCGAATTAAAATAAAACACACATTACACATATTAAGTATACAGTTTGCCATCTGAGTACCCGATTTACCTTTGCTCACCAGCTAGTCATTAGTAATTTAATGTTAAGAATCGTACGTTAAAACGCCATGGTATAAATCGAAATTCGATGCTGAACGAAACACAGACTGTTCAGATTTATCGAAAAATAATAAACAATTTGTTGAATACAAATATGAACACATTTCTTTTTCTGCTTGCAATTTATCAGAATTTAAACTATTGGGACATTCCAAAAACACCTACTGTTATGTTATAAATTACCATAATATACGTCAATCTGAAAAGCACACATCATGGAAGAACTTATAAAGATTCCTCGCAGTGATCCTAAAATATGTTCACTGTAAAAGTTTAGTGTCTGTACGGCGTACTACTATTATTTTACAAATTTCGTGTTATTCTCGTATTGTGTACTGTATATTCAAAGAATCGCTGTATAAAAAAACGATGGGATTGTATTTCTCATAACGGATGACATTTTTATTTAAATTAAACACTTCGGATTGCTCATTAAAGAATCGTTTAGACACTATGTTAACCCAGTATAAATAATATTAAAACGTACGTTTAAATCGACACACGGAATAGACCTTTTGTTACTGAAATTTTTTTTAAGTACTACTTTTTCTCGTCATTTATATGTTTTGCACAATAAAAGTCATTATTAGTACATCAGCTAAATACTCCGCAAAAATAGCATAGAATAAGAGGAATTAATCACTACTTTCATTGTTTTGGAAAATTTGCTTAAAGTTATAATTCAATAATAATAATAACAATAATAATAATTTTCAAAAATATTTGATTTTTAATGAATCTAAATTCTATCGTTTAAATTGTCTACATAAGCATGTAGGTATAGACTAGAGAAAAAGCAAATATAACACAATAGAAGATAGGGCAATTATAAATTCATTTCTAGATTTAGATTTATCGTTTTATCATAATTACTGGTATTTTGATACTTTTATGAAAAATCTCATTTTTTGAATTAACGTGTCCACGCATTTCATAAAGTGTGAATAAATGTATAATAACTTATAAAACAAATGTATACAATAATAAATGTACAGGAAACCTATTTTCTGTTTTCAAAAAAATATCATAAATATGGTATTTACTATTAGTTTTAATATTTATCAATAAAATATGATATTAATTTTACATAATTTTGCATTTCCTTTTTGTGAGTAAAAAATAAGAAAAACACCCATAGTTACAATGAACTTTTTATCATTATTATCCAGCAATTATATATATTTGTGTACTGAAGGTTTATATAATTTTACAAAGAATATTTTCGGTTTTCGTATATTTTTGGGACACATTAATGTGTTTTACAGATGGTTTACGGTTAAGATTTGTAATGCGAATTCGGGATGAATAGTCGGTATGAACAAAAATCGGTTGCTTTGGCAACTACGATACGGCGCCATTTCAGTTTATTTAAAGCTATACAATATTGAATATTTTTAAAAACATATTCTTTATGTCTAGCGATTTTTACCATAAGAGACAGAATAAATTGTGATTTGATTGTTTTATATGCAAAAATGTCAATTAACGTATATTGGTTTGATCAATAATATTTTCAAAATAAAAATAATTCCATCTCATTTTTAGTCAAGTTATGGCCGTAATATTTATAATCGTGTCGCTGGTTAAATATTATAAAAACGGTAATTTATTTATTGATATCAAATAATGTACAAGTAAATATTTTATTGATAACTACATAAGGAATTTTTCAAATATATAAATAATGTTAATGTTGATCATTGATTTTGATCGTCAAACGAGATAACAATATATAATATTTAAGTGAATAGAGTGAACAATATATAATATTTAAGTGAATAGAGTGAACAATATAAGTAATATAGTAATTACTTATTAGTATTTTTTTTTTTTTTTAAAAAACTCGTAACGTGATGCTAATTTAAAATTAATTTAAAGCCATAGTGACGAGTTCTTAGAAATGTATTTTTTTTTTTTTTTTACATATTTCAGATATCTGTTTACTTTTCAGTAAGAATATTGAACTTCAATGCTTATTTAAAAATAATATTTTTCTCTTACTTCAACAATTCTCATACATTTAAATTCCTATGACAAAAGTCTTCATCAAAAGAAAAATACTACACATTTTTTTTTTTATTCTTAAAATATAGATATTCTAATACTAGAATTGTTTCTCCATTTAGATTAATCTTGGAAAATAAAGTAATCTTTATTTCAGATTTTAGAAAATCAATGATTATGCAGAAATGTTCTATCACTGTTAAACATTCAGATAATCCGTCTAAATCGATATGGTTAATTACTGTACGTGAAATATGTACCGATAAAAAAATAAATAAATAAAAAACAAAGTACCATATATGTTAGACTCGAGACGAACATGATCGACGCGTTTTGAACGTTTCGTCCGCTTGTGCTCATGGTGATTTAAACACGAAACTGTTTCCGACGGGACGATCGGGTGGGTTATAGCCCAACCCCACCCCTCCCCGAACATACTCCGTTTCACGTTCGCGTCGGGTCGCGTACCGGTTCGTCGTACGCGACACGATTGCGATTGCACGTGAAACCGGCGATTAACGTGTGCACGTGTTTGTTGTGTGCGCAGGGCGTGTACGTGGCGGAGACGACGACCAGCGAGTCGGTGGCCGCCGCGGCGGAAGCGGCCGGCAAGTCGGCGGACTACGAGTACGACGACGACGAGTTCGACATGGAGGCCGAGATGCTGCGCCGCGAGTTCCGGGAGGCGTCTCTGCTGGCCAACGGCACCGATTGCGGCGCGACCGCGGCCGTGCTCGAGCCCAGCAGCCAGACCCAAGTGGACCTGACGGCGGACCGTCGGCCGACCGCGGCCGTCAACCAGCTGCAGCCGGCCGCGGCCGACCACTCGAGCGGCGGTTCGTCGTCCGTGGACTCGCGAGCGGCCGAAGCCGCGTACGCTTACGGCAACCAGTCCGAGTACACGACCGAGGATGCCGCGAACAAGCACAAGGTCGTGGTCGCGACGGCCGCGGCCAAGTCCGCGTCACCGGTGTCACCGACCGCGACAGCCAACAACAACAACAA